GAAAGGCCAGGGGCGCCCCCCTCAAGGGCAAGCCTGACCAGCTGCACCAGCCAGCAGAACCTGGCTCTGTGGCCAAGGGGTTAAGCTGATACATTTAAGGGAAATAAAGCGCTTCCTATTAAGTTTAAACACTTAAATCTGTGCCCTTATTTTTCCACTCCTAGCAATTTATGCTACAGAAATATTCTTACACGTATGCAGAGACGTGGTAAAAAAAATAAAATAAAAGGTTTGCTGTGAGATGGAAACAGTGAAAACCTACCCCCTCCAACCCCCCGGAAAACACTGAAATACTATGCAGTCTTTTCAGGGAGTGCGACTGTGCCAAAAATACCAAGTCAACTGAGAAAACAGCATTTTGTAAAAAGATAAGTCACAGTAACACACAGAGCAGGAACTATACTCGCTTGCTGACATCTGTGGGAAACAGGATTTGGGCAACTTTCACATTCTCCATTATGATTTTGTCTCATTTAGATCTTGTGTGACTTTGTGTTATGTTCTAATCAGTAAAAACAACCGTTAAAGATCAAAACAACCGATCAAGTAAGTATCTTAGAACCTAAGCATAAAGAGAATAATCATTTGTGACTAAGTTCAAACCAAGTGGGTTAAACTGGCGTATTTCACAGAGATGACAAAAGACCTGTATTCAGCCTCCTGCAACAGTGACCACCGTTAAACCTCCCCTCACCTTCGTGAGGAGCTAGTCTTGTGCTGAAGAAACCTATACAACTCATCTTCATTTCCTGGACACACACAGCAAACGACGCAAGGGCCAACCAACCTATGGTCAGGAGTTACCTGTACGAGGGTTCAAAACCGAATCCTACTTGTGCTTTACTCAGAAATCTTGTAAGATCCTCCAGTTGAACTCACAAAATGAAAGCAAATCTCAGACACCCCAAATGACTACAAATTGAATGTCGAATTAAAAAAAAAAACACTAACATTCAGATTATACGTATTTCAACTTACATGTTTTGAAAGTAAAAGCGTGCGACAAGGGACTTTACAAATCAAGCACTCATCTTTTCCACCTACAAAAGAAAAGCAAACTTTACTGTATTATAGTGAGTAGTGATTTTTTTTTAAGATTTTATTTATTTATTCATGAGAGACAGAGAGACAGAAAGAGAGAGAGATGCAGAGACCCAGGCAGAGGGGGAAGCAGCTCCCTGCAGGGACCCCGACGTGGAACTCCATCCGGGACCCCGGGGTCACGCCCTGGGCTGAAGGCAGACGCCCAACGGCTGAGCCGCCTGGGGGCCCCCGTGAGTAGTGCTTCTGAATGTGTACCAACGCAGCTTCAAATCACGGTATTTCTTCAAAAACATACGGGCTCATAGCACTTAACATCTTCCACGTTCAGACAGTAAGGCTGTGCACGTGTACAGAGTTGAAGAGATTCCTTCAACTAATAATCCATTTCCCCCCGTTTTCCCAAGATGTTCCGAAAGAGTATGAAGGTCAGCAATCCTCAAACTCAAATGTACTGCAGAATTTCGTACAATTAGGCTTTGTGACGATATCCTAATTTAAAATTTTTAGCTACTCAAAATGAAAACAGGTCCTTTCACCCTGCCCCGAGATGAAGCACAAGTTTTGTTCTGCCCCCGGACACTCACCTTTGCAGCAGGAGAGAGCTCACTGGGAAAGAGCCTTGGGAGCGTGCGCGGAGCTCCTGCTGCCCGGGGGCCCGGCGCCAACACCGCCCACCCCGACCCGCTCTTCTGGGCGGCTCTGCACATCCTGCTCCCCAGGCCACTCCCGTTACCCCCTGGAAAACCCGCTCCCTGCATCTCCTCGCCTGCCCCCACCTGGCACCAGAGCAGCCCGCGCCGTGTCCCTGGAGAACTCAGACTCCAGTGGGGGCTGCAGGGCTGTCGACCTGGGCTCCTCCGCAGCCGCACACGTCTGAGCTCTGCTGTCTCACTAGCGAGTCTCAGCGCTCGCTCGCAGCGCTGCGTCCCTTGCCCTTCCCAGCGGCGCAGCTGGCCCAGCCCAGGCCCCCAGCCCCCGCCGCCTCCTCTGGTCCAGGGTGGCTAAGAACCAAGAACCAGGAAGAACAGTCGCCTCGCTGAGACGTGCCTTCACAGGCGTGGATTCCAGGATTCCAGCGCTGGGCCTGCCAGCCGCTGGGCGACCCCCGCTTTCCTGGGTGTTCCCCACCAAGCCCGTGGGGGTGGGGGCGTTCAAACAAGCCCTCGCCTCATGCGACGACACAGGCGGGACCTTCCTCTGTTTCCCGCCTCTCCGCCACTTCCCACAGAACGACCCACTCGGCTTTCTTCCTGTCTCATGGCCCCGACCCCGCAGCCCACGGATGAGGTCCCTGTGGAGAAGGAGGCCCCCCCCCACCCCCCCCCACAGCCTCAGGCCGGCCCCTTTCCATCTTGCCTACAAACAGCCCGCGGCGCTCTCCGCAGCTCCCACCGTGGGAGCAGGGTCCGCCTCCGGCTCTGCTCGGGGTTCGGGGTTCGGGGTCCGGGAGCCCGAGGCGGGCGGCCTGGGGTAACAGCCGGCCCTGAAACCCAGCAGGCGGGGTCCCTGGGTGGCGCAGCGGTTCGGCGCCTGCCTTTGGCCCAGGGCGCGACCCTGGAGACCCGGGGTCGAGTCCCACGTCGGGCTCCCGGTGCGTGGAGCCTGCTTCTCCCTCTGCCTGTGTCTCTCTCTCTCTCTCTCTCTCTCTCTCATAAATAAAAAAAAACTAAAAAATACATAAAACCCAGCAGGTGCGTCGAGGCCGGGAAGCGAGAAACGTGACAGGCGGGGTCGGCGCAGCGAGTGGGTTCACAGGCGGTGCTCGCGGACCCACGGACACGAGCGCTCGACGGAAGGCGGGAGGGGCCCAGGCGAGCAGCCGGCTCGGCGCAGACGGCAGCCCCAGCCGCCAGGAGAGGAGAGGCTGCCCCGCCCGCCCCGCCCCCCCTCGCCCGCCCTCGCCCGCCCCAGGGCGGCACCTGCGGCCTGCGGACCCCCGCGGGCGCGGCCTCTCGAGCGCACCCGCGATGCTTGACGGCCCCGCGGCCGGGGACCCCGCCCGCAGCGCCCGCGTCCCTCCCCGCCCCTGCGGCGGCCGGGCCCCAGCTGCCCCGGGGAGCGGAACCGCGTCCAGCGGCCGCAGCCTCACCGCCCCCGCGCCCCGGCCCGCGGCCCCCGGCCCCCGGGGACCTGGCGACGCGCGCCTCAGGTCGCCGCAGGCCGCAGCGGGGCCGCCGACCCGGCCGCCAGGAGGGCCGCGCCTCGCGCAGGGTCACCCCGCGCCCCGCCGCCGCCCGCGCATCGCCGGCGCTGGGGACGCGGGTTCGCTCGGACGCGCGGGCGCCCGGAAAGCCCGCGCCGCGCGTTCACGCACCTTCCCCCTTCTCTCGGATTCTACTTACTCGTCGCCGTCGCCGAGAGGCACGGAGCGGGGGAGGCGGACACGCGGCCGGGGGCTGCCCCCGCGGGCACCCGGGTCACGCCCCGGCCCAGGGCGGCGCTCCCCGCCTCCACGCGCCGCCCGCGCCGGCCGCCCTCACCTTTGCGCAGGCAGACGTCGCAGTACACGTGGCCGCAGTTGGTCAGGCTGAAGCGCGACGCGCGGTGCGGCGGCTGGAAGCAGCGGTTGCAGAACACCCAGCCGGCCATGGCGCCTCGGGCCCGCCGCCTCGGGTCCCGCCGCCTCGGGCCCGCCGCCTCAGGTCCCGCGGCCTCGGGCCCCGCCGCCTCAGGTCCCGCCGCCTCAGGTCCCGCCGCCTCAGGTCCCGCGGCCTCAGGTCCCGCCGCCTCAGGTCCCGCGGCCTCAGGTCCCGCGGCCTCGGGCCCCGCCGCCTCAGGTCCCGCCGCCTCGGGTCCCGCCGCCTCGGGCCCCGCCGCCTCAGGTCCCGCCGCCTCAGGTCCCGCCGCCTCGGGCCCGCCGCCTCACGCCCCGCCGCCTCGGCCCCGCCGCCTCAGGTCCCGCCGCCTCGGGCCCCGCCGCCTCAGGTCCCGCCGCCTCACGCCCCGCCGCCTCGGCCCCGCCGCCTCACGCCCCGCCGCCTCACGCCCCGGCCCCGCGCCGCCCGGAAGCGGCCGCCGCGCCTCTGCACCTGCGCAGACCCCGCGGGGCGCCCGCGCCTGCGCAGGAGACGGCCCCGCTCCCGCCAAAACCCCCGCGGGGAGACCCGGAGCGCGGCGGCAGGAGCGTGGCCCGGGGCACCCGTCATCGCAGGCCTCGCTGTTCCGACGGGGCCGCGGTGTGGCGGGTCAGGCCGCGGCCACGGGGTCGGCGCCGCCGCGGGGCCCACGTGCGCCCACCGGGAAGGCGCAGGGCGGGTGCGGCCCTGGCGGCTCCGGAAGGCTCGGCGCGGGCAGGACGGTGGTGGCGGCGGGACGCGGTGCGGGCGCCGGGCGGCCTGGGGGGGGGGACGCGGGGCTGACCCCGGACGCCGCGGGGCCTGGGCACACGGGCTGGGGGAGCCCGGAGGACACCGCAGGCCCGGCGGGGCTGGGCGGGGGACGGGGCGGGCGGGAGGGGGACGGGCCTGGACGGGGCGGGGACAGATGGGGGGACGGGCCTGGACGGGGAGGGCAGGGGCTGGGGCGGGGGACGTGCCTGGACGGGGCAGGCGGTGGATGGGCCCGGACCGGGAAGGCTGGGAGGGGGATGAGCCTGGACCGGGAAGGGTGGGAGAGGGACGGGCAGGCAGGCGGTGGATGGGCCTGGATGGGGCAGACGGGAGGGGGACGGGCCTGGACAGGGATGGGCCTGGACGGGGCGGGCAGGAGGGGGATGGGCCCGGACCGGGAAGGCTGGGAGGGGGATGAGCCTGGACCGGGAAGGGTGGGAGAGGGACGGGCAGGCAGGCGGTGGATGGGCCTGGATGGGGCAGACGGGAGGGGGACGGGCCTGGACAGGGACGGGCCTGGACGGGGCGGGCAGGAGGGGGATGGGCCCGGACCGGGAAGGCTGGGAGGGGGATGGGCCTGGACAGGGATAGGCCTGGACGGGGCGGCGGGCGGTGGATGGGCCTGGACCAGGAAGGGTGGGAGGAGGATAGGCCTGGACAGGGACAGGCCAGGGCGGGCCTGGAGGGGCGGGCGGGAGGGGGATGGGCCTGGATAGGGACGGGCCTGGACCGGGGCAGTGGACAGACCAAGAGGGCAGGCAGGAGATGGGCCTGGAGGGGAACGGACCTGGCCCCCTGGACCAGGGCGGTGGACAGACCCGGAGTGTGGGTGGGAGACGGGCTTGGACGGGGCAGGGGACAGACCGGGTAGGCAGGGCAGCGGCGGGGTGGCCAGTGCACAGGTGGCGGGGGTCTGGACAGTTGGCGGTCATGCGGGGAAATGGAAAAGCAGAGACTTGGCCAGTGCTTGGCGATTGGAGCCCTTGGTTGTGCGCAGTGTTGGTGGAGCCCCGACCGCCGAGCTCCGAGTGACCTGTGCCTGCCGTGCCAGGCACTTGGCTTCCCGGGCTGCGGGTCGGGAAAGCAGTGTAGCGTCTCCATGATCTCGTACTGTTTACAGACCGGCAAGTATTCTTGGCGTCCTGGGTTAAGTATATATCACTGGGGTTAATTTCGCCCTTCTAAAAAAAAAAAAAACCCTTTTTAACGTGGCAACTCGAAAACCTGAAATTTACATACATACACAGCTTAGGTTTTGTCTATGGGATCCCCTCTGTTCCAGGTTAAAATAAGACCTGGATGATGTGCTTATTCCACCAAGCTCAGAGACCACTTTTTAAAGTCCCGTTTTATCAGTGTAACATTGATTTCAGTCTCTGGTCGTCTTTGAAGTCGTAAAAGCAGCACATGGTTGTGAATGTATTTTGATTTATTGACTCAGACATTCTACAAATTAGCAGGTAGCTGTTTGTATTAACATTTTAAACGAGTTTCTTAGCTATAAAGAAGCTTTTAAGGGATTTCATTTGGAAAATTCCGATTGCAATGAAGATTAATGTTTGTGCAAATGCCCACCATAAAACATTGCTATTTGTATCTTCACTGATCATCCGAAAATTTTCTTCACGGTCCTGTGTGGGAGAGAAATAGGCAGGTTTAGTTTCTTCAAGTATTTAACTGTATGGATTTGAGGGGAAGGTGCTGTACACGTTGAAGATATTTACTGTTTCCCGGTTCATACACCAAAGCGCAGTATCTGATTTTCTAAGCCAGGTGTGTTGTCAGCTAAAGACAAGGATTAAGAATCAACCTTACAAAACATATGTTTTTGTGTGTGTGTGTATTTTGATATAAAATACCAGTATTTGCTCTATTATCTCGTACATTTTATGTCTTACCACTGAGCAAACGACCACCGGCCAATAGTGATCGATTCTCAGAATTGGTGTCCTTACTGAACCTTAAGCTGGACACTGCACCGAGCACACCTGTCCTCTTATTTCTCATGTAAGGAAACCAGAGTCTGGAGACAACACAAGGTGAGCATGGGAGCAGATTTGACCCCATGTCTGACCAGAGTCCAGTGAGCACAGTGACCTGGAAAACACAGTGTCACGAGAACAAAACTGTGATCTAGAGAGTGGGCTGAGCCCCTTCCTAGGTGTGGGGTGCGTTTGGGGGCATTTATCCATTCGCTCTGTCAATGAGCCGTAGTCCCCTTTCCTAGAGCAGCTCACAGCCTGGCAGAGAGGGAAAGATTGCGCTTTCCTTCACCCTGCGTGTCCCCACAGTGCTAGCTCAGACCAACGGCCGAGGAACAGGCACTTTATTCTTTCCATGCTTTGGGGGCTTTGTCTCCAGAATTTCGTTCCTGGCAGGAAGAGATAAAACAAGCTGAATAGGCAAACTGACCCTTTGATAGTTCTGTTCTTTGACTATTTGCTCAATTTGCTCAATTAGATGTTCCAGCTTAAAGCTAACTTCATTAACTTTGTCCTTTGCTTGAGCAATGGCCGCATCAAGGTCATGTTGTCCAACTCGAATCTCTAAGTGGATCCGCTGTACAAACAGTGAAAGGGAAGAAACGTTCTTCAAACCGCTGCACTCTGCGTTTCCCTTGTCCTGTCCCCCGCCCCAGTCCTGTGTCTCTCACCCCCTCTTCGAGACCTCTCACGGCCCACCCCCCCCCCCGCTGTACTCAGTAGCCTTTCTTTGTAAGAATAGTGTATTAAATGATGACCCACGGCCCTGAGAGAGTACCCATTCCCTCCTGAGCATCAGATGGCTACTCCATAAAGGCTTTTGCCACTCAACGAACTTGATTATTTTCAGGAAAAATTTTTTTCTGTACAGAAGACTACATTTCTGATACTAAAGTATACATTTTCTTTGTCTGCTTTCAGCCCGTTTAGAAAATAACCAATCACCATCTGCCGTATAAGAGTTTTATTTATTGGAATTCCATTGTTAATTTACCCTCCAGCCTTTGCTTGTTTTCAGGCCTGAGTAATCACAGTTCTTTTAACCTTCCCTCACGGTTCTTGTTTTTCAAGCCCTTTAATCAAGGCTGTGGCTCTCCTTTGAACCCCTTCCAAGCTCTCCAGCTCCCTCTTTGGTTGCTGCACCCAGATCTGGGCACAGGACTTTAATAAGTTTCTAGCCAGTGTGAGTGTAATGGTTCTGCATACCAATGTCATGCCTGAATAGTGCTGGTGCTCTGTTCATCAGCAGGGACGTGGGAGGCGTGTACTCACCAGCTTACTGCCACCGAAGGACACAAGCCTCGTAGAATTAGATTCCAAGCAAATGATGTGTTCGCCAGGTGAATGTGAAGTAAAATAGAATCTTCCTTGTGGGCCGTATAACTTGGACAATAATACCTAGGATTGAGGATCTCCATGACTTATGTGTACTGTTCTCTACTTTCCCTTCTTAAAAATAGATCTTCCCTATTAGTAAAAACTGTGCAGTTCCTAAAGAAGGAATGAAAGGGTAGATAAACATGGAAAATAATTTAGCCCAGAGTAAGATATCCCTTATTTACTATCAGATTGGCAAAGATTTAAACAAGAGTGTCCAGGGATATATTGACAAATGCGATCTCTAAACACTGATTTGGGAATGTAAGTTGGACAACCGTTTTGGAGAACAGTTCAGTATGAATTAAAAATTAAAATGCACGTAACCATTGACTCAGTGGTTCTACCTACAGGAATTTATTCTATGGAAATGCACAAGTAGACAGAACTGCATGTAAAATTATATTCAGTGTGGTGTTTTTGTTAACGGTAAAGTTATATTCTTGAAATTATGTTAGTACCTTTCAATAGAGGATTGGCTAAATTTAGGCAAAGCCAAATAAAGAAATGTTGTGTGGCGAAAAAAGAGATCCTGTACTAAAGGTATCCGCGATATCTTGTGCTAGAGCAGTGTATATAGGATCCTATTTTTTATTATAAAATCATTTGTAAAAGTGTGCGTGTGCGTGTGTGTGTGTGTTTATATAAGCTTAGAAGAAGATTCTGAAGAACACCAAGCTTTTAGTTGGTTATATTTATTGGGCAACTTTGACTTTCTGTTTAGCTAATTTCTATATTGTTTGTCATTTTATTTATTTTTTTAAAATTTGTATTTATTTATAATAGTCACACAGAATGAGAGAGAGGCAGAGACAAAGGCAGAGGGAGAAGCAGGCTCCATGCACCGGGAGCCCGACATGGGATTCGATCCTGGGCCTCCAGGATCACGCCCCGGGCCAAAGGCAGGCGCTAAACCGCTGCGCCACCCAGGGATCCCTGTTTGTCATTTTAAAAATAGGTGTAGGACTTCTAGTTTGTCATCAAGGAGTTTGGAAGTTTCTACTCTGTCCTAACAAGTAAAAAGATGAACACAATGAAAGCCAATTCTTTTTAGATCCGTCAGAGAATTGAGGTCACAGAGTAAGTCACTGCCCCCTAAATTGGAAAGACAAACAAGAAAATACAAAGAATCACAACATACCACAGCAGAAACTGTGGGTACCAGTACTGGGTTCCTTTTACCTAATAGACAATGTCCAGCTTTCAACAACAAAACAATTTCAAGGAATAAGAGATGGAAAAAAAAAAAAAACATAGTTTGAGGAGCCAGAGCAAGCACCTGAACCGGATTCAGACATGGCAGGGAACAGATTACTGTGCTAAGGGCTCTAACAGAAGGAGTAGGTGGCATGCAAGGACACATGGGTAATACAAGCAGAGAGATGGAAATTCTAAGAGAAATTTAAAATGCTGTTGATGAGAAACCCCGTAACAAAGAATGCTTTTGATGGGCCGACTAGACTGGACATGGCTGAGGAAGGAATCTCCTAGAGTGAAGATACGGCAGTGGACATTTCTAAAACTGAAAAGCGAAGAGAGGAAAGACTGAAAAAAAAAAAAAAGGGAACAGAAGATCCTAGACCTGTGGACAACTGTGAAAGGTGTCACATCCACATAATGGCAATTCTCGAAGAAGAATAAACACATGGAACAGTGATGACAGAGTTAGTGCCACAGCTCCAGAAAGCTCAGAGGACACCAAACAGGATAGATGCCAAACCAAACTAAAAAAAGACCCGACACCGAGGCATGGCCTAATGAAACTATAGATATCAGTGGTAAAACGTCTTGAAAGAAGCCAGCAGGGAAAACACAGCTACAGAGGAGCAGATGTAAGAATTACACCTGGCTTCCCTTCAGAAGCCATGCAGGTGGGGGACGCCTGGGGGACTCAGCGGTTGAGCATCTGCCCTCGGCTCAGGGCGTGACCCCAGGGTCCCGGGGTCGAGTCCCACATCGGACTCCCCGCATGGAGCCTGCTTCTCCCTCTGCCTGTGTCTCTGCCTCTCTCTGTGTGTCTCCCATGAATAAATAAATAGAATCTTAAAGAAAAAAAAAAGAAACCATGCAGGCAAGAAGAGTGGAGAGAAGAGACCAACTGGCTAGAATCCTGTAGCCTGCAAAACTGTCCTTCAAAAGCGAAGGAAAAATAAAGATTTTTCTCAAAGAAAAATGGAGGGAATGCATCACTGGTAGACCTACCTAGAAAGAGCTGTTCATTCTTCTGAGAGAAGGGAAATGATCCAGGTCAGAAAGTCAGGTCTACGTAAAGAAGGGAAGAGAATCAGAGCAGGAATAGTTGAGGGTAAAGTAAAATCTTACCTTTCTTAGTTGATCTAATTGATGATGGTTTGTTCAAGTACGAGCAATGGCATATTTGATTATGTGCACCTGACATGGATGACAGCATGACAAGGGACATAGTTGCAAGTGTATATTGCCAACTCTAGGGCAGCCACTTAAAAAGAGTTTAAGAAGTATAACTGACACCTAAGAAAGGAGATAAAATGGAATCACAGGAAATAATTAGATTTACAAAAGATAGGAAAAGGGGAAGACAATGATAGGAACAAGGAACGAGGGCAGTGATTAACGCAGTGGATGCTCACCCAGTGATATCAGTAATGACTTTGCATGTCGGCAACACAAATCTGGGTTGTCCACAAGAAACCGACTTTAAATACAAAGACACATAGATTAAAGATAAGGGAGAAGGTACGGACGCGGACTTTAAGCTTACAAAAAAAGCTGGTGTGCTCATAGTAACCGGACACAGTAGACTTTAGGCCAGAGAAGGTTCTTAGAGATAATTAATAGATGGTAGATAGTAGAGCATCACATGGGTGACAGGTCAATTATCCCAGATGACGAAAGAGTCCTTAATGGGTAAGCAAATGACACAGGACAAACTGACAGGGATCCCTGGGTGGCGCAGCGGTTTGGCGCCTGCCTTTGGCCCAGGGCGCGATCCTGGAGACCCGGGATCGAATCCCACGTCGGGCTCCCGGTGCGTGGAGCCTGCTTCTCCCTCTGCCTGTGTCTCTGCCTCTCTCTCTCTCTCTCTGTGTGACTATCATAAATAAATTTAAAAAATTAAAAAAAAAAAAAGACAAACTGACAGGACCACTGACAGGACCACGGGGGAGGAGGAGACTCTGCTGTGTGGTTTGGAGACTGACGCCCCTGTCAGGTGCGGGCAGACCCAGCCACAGGTCAGGAAGGACATCGCTGACCTCGACCGCCCCGTCGGCCAAGGGCACCTGATGGACGTGGACAGTCTACCTCATCCAACAGCCGCAGATTATGCGCGTTCTCAAGGTCACTGGGAGCTCGCGCCAGGACGGGCCACGTTCCGGGCCACAGCACACTTCAACACGTTGAAATAACTAGGAACCCTCGCCTGTCCTTCAATAAGCAACCGTAACAGAAACCACACAACGTGTGTTCTCAGAACACAGTGGAATTAAAGTAGAAATCAGTAACAAAGACCCCAGAATACTGCGAGATTACACACGTGTAGAGATGAAGCACATTCCTACATAACACGTGGGTGGAGCAAGAAATCCTAGGAGCAACTTGAAAATATTGTGAACTAGAGAATCCTGGGGGGCTGGTGCAGGAGGCAGCACCCGGGGTCTGTCGGCCCACCTAGGCCACGGTCACGCCGTCAGAATCCATCTGGTGGGTCTATTGTGGAGCTGGGGAGGCTCCGGGAGGCTCGCGGCTTGTGGGGAAGCCTCGGGTGGTGAATTGTGGTTAATTTTGGTCGCATCAGCTCTTAGCACAGTAGCAGCTCCCCATCCACACCCCAGCCACGTGGCGGGCAGCCACGAAGGGGGAGCCAGGGTGGGCGGGAAGAACCCTGTCCCCCAAATCTCGAGGACCTGCACGATAGTCTGAATATTACCAGGCTTTGGGGCATCTGGGGGGCTCCGGCCGTGAAGCATCTGCCTTTGGCTCAGGTCATGATCTCAGGGTTTTGGGATCGAGTTCCATGTCGGGTTCCTCGTTTAGTGGGGAGCTCCCTCTCCCCCTCCCTCTGCTGCTCCCCCTCTTGTGCATGCGCCCGCGCTCTCCCAAATAAATATCTAAAAACACCCACGTCCAGCGCTCCCCTCGGCTGGACCACAGGCTCTCTGCGGGCGGGCGGTGAGCCCCTTTCCTCAGGACTGCACGCGGCAAAAATGGCACGTTCTGGTTACCGAGTGCTTACCCGAAGGTTCTTCTCAAAGTTTGTGGGGCTACATGACACAAATTGGTGGCAAATGCTGAATTTCAGTAACAGAACCTAGGAGGAGCTTTTACCTCATCGTTGTAGGTTGTGACAGTCACAAACATCCCCAGGCCCGGAGCAGATTCAAGGAAATCCTGCCTGCGGAAGTCCCACTGCTGTGTCTTGAAAGTCCCTGTGTCAGAAACAGGACAGTTACACAGTAAGTGTAGGGGACGGTGAGGGGTGTCGGGCTGCCGTGAGTCGGGCACGACCAGGCTCCGCACGGTGGGGTCGTCCGTGTCCACCCGAGGCCTGGGGTGGCCCGGGAGGTCCTGAAAACGTGCTCCGAGGCGACAGCTTTGTGCTGTCCCCGAGTCAACTGATCACACGTGGCGAGCTTCTTGCGCGGCCGCGGGGCGTGGGAGGAGCCGAGGACAGTGAGCCCGCGGCTGCTTCCACGGAGCCTTTGCGCCGACACGCGGGCAGCGGGAGGTGTTACCTCGATGACGGAAGTCAGGGCCTGGGCTCTGGGGCGCTTGGGATGCTGCTCAGACTTGGGCGCAGGCCGCGGGAGTACGGGAGGGCAGGTGCGTGGAGGCGCCCGTGCTAGGGGCACCCTGCCCATACGTGTGCGTGGGACCGCCCACGCCGCCCGGTGCTGCTGGTGGGCCAAGGTCCCTAAGGTTGCCACAGAGGGAAGGACCCCGCTTTGTGGGCCCTACTCTACGCTCCCCCATGGATATTCTAGAGGCGGTGAGTGGGGCAGAGGGAGGCTGCTCACCCAGGGCTCAATCCCGTGACCCCAAGATCACGACCTGACCCGAAACCAAGAGTCCCACGTCCAACCGACAGGCGTCCCCCAGACACATCCTTATGACAACTCTACCTGTGGTGCAACCCAGACACAGGAAAGGTGATTTGCCCAAAGTCACACACACAGCAAGTGGCAGGGTCAGGACCTTCCCCTCTTCCACTTAACGCTGTCTCTGCGGGGCACCACGGCCCATGGCAGCGTGTGTAGGTCCTGGGGCGGGAGCCTGTGGGGTGGGCTGCAGGGGGGTGGGCTGGGGGGCAGCGGGGCCAGGTCACGGGGTGCCTGCACGCTCCCTGTAAGGCTTCGGGGAGGCGCGGTCACTGTGAAACGTGCCGTGTGGGGAAAATGAAGGACCAGGAGCAGAAGCAGGGAAACCGGGTGCCTCGGCCCAGGTGGGAGGCAGAATCCCAGGTAAAGTCATGCAGCTAGTGGCTACAGACGCGGGTCAGAGTCCACGCAGGCTGGTTCCGGAGCCCAGAGCCACAGGCCAGGCCCAGGGCTTCCAGTCACTGTGGGCGCTACGGGCAGGGTGGGCCCTACGCAGTGAGATGGTCGGGGTGGGGGGCACCTAAAGAGGCCATTCCCTGGGCCCTCTAGCCCTGCCTGCACCCAATCCAAGGATCTCTTGGGCGGTCCTGGGCCTTTGTCCCTGCAGATGGTGAAACAGGATAGTGTATGTTCTGTGCTGTTAGGGGTAGGGGCAGGGGGCTCAGCAGGCCAAGTGTCTGCCTTGGGTCTGCCTTGGTCGCAGTCCTGGTCCTGAGGTCATGGCCCTGAGTTCCTGGAGTTCTGGGGTCATGGGGTCGAGCCCCGCAGACTTAGCCCCACATCATCATCCTGGCTTCCTGTTCCACGGCCAGTCTGCCGCTTCTCCCTCCTTTTAAAAATGTCTGGTTGATGATTCTGGAAAAGATGGTGTGAGTCCATCCACCCTCTCGCTCTTGCTAATCATGACTAAGGACCTTGGGCGAAATGTGAGAGCAACCACCAGGAGGCTCTGAAAGGTGGGGAACAGGTGCCGGGCTGGGGTTGCATCTGTCCCCCTCCCTCCCAGAGCCTGGGTGCTGGGCACTCTGCAGACCCCAGACCCAGACTGGGAGGGACGGGGGGATGGAGGGACGGAGGGGGGACTCCTCCAGTCATAGGGTCTGCACCAGGGGTCCTGCAGGACATGGGAGGGAGGAGGAGGAGGCAGCAGGCCCCCCCCCAAGTCCGTGCACAGCCCCAGGCAGCCTGTGGGGCCAGCGGCATCCCCACCCGGGACAGCCCTGGATCCGTCCCGTAGGAAGAACACCCAGGCCCTAGGTGGGCCGGGATCTCGGAACTGAACACTGCTCACCTAAACACGGAACCACAGCTATTTCCCCACAAAATGGGGCTTATTCGGGAGCCACAGAGAACAAAACCACAGATGAGTCTGCAGAACAAAGCAGGGGAGGGGGCTAGGGGGCGGCGGCGGAGGGTGCGTGAGTTAAACTGAGCAGGAATTGCGGTGGCTTCTCATCGGCTGGGCCAGGACCATCTCCCATTGGCCGGGATGGGGCCATCTCCTATTGGCCGGACTGTTGCTGGGGGAGGAGGAAACCGTCCTTCTCCTGTTGGGATAGTAAAGTGGTCGCTAAGGTGACATCCAGGTGCAGGTGCAGTTCCTGTTGGGTCTGCAGGTGGCTGGGAGTGGTCGGGCCCAGAGCTCCCTGCCTGCAGACCCCATTGTAAACGAAGTTTCCTTTTACTAATTTTTACAAAACAAAAAGATATATATGGAAAGTGGAGAGAAACCACACATCACTAATGGGAACAAGAGTTTGAATGGCAGCACATTTCCCATCAGACACGTAGAGACCAGGGTGCCTGCGGGGCTCAGTGGTTGAGCATCTGCCTCCAGCTCAGGTTGAGATCCTGAGTTCTGGGATTGTGTCCTGTATCGGGCTCCCTGCAGGGAGCCTGCTTCTCCCTCTGCCTGTGTCTCTGCCTCTCTCATGAATAAGTAAAATCTTTTTCTTTTTTAAAGATTTTATTTATTTATTCATGAAAGACACACACACAGAGGCAGAGACACAGGCAGAGGGAGAAGCAGGCTCTATGCAGGGAGCCCGACATGGGACTCGATCCTGGGTCTCTAGGATCAGGCCCTGGGCTGAAGGCGGTGCTAAACCGCTGAGCCACCCCAGCTGCCCGAATAAGTAAAATATTAAAAAAAAAATGCGGAGACCAGAAAAAATTTTGACAAAAGAATTGTGAAGCAACACTATATCCACGAAACGTATCCTTCAAAATGAAGGCATAATGTTCTTAGGTCAAGGAAAACTAAGAATTTTTCACCAGAACAGCTGCTTTAAAATAATTGCTTAAAGGAAGTTCTTCAAAGAACTTCCAAGAAAATGATAAATCTGCAGCACCAGGAATGAAGAGGAAATAGTGGAAAGAGTAACTAGGGAAACAACAATAGACCATTTTCTATTCCTGAAGCTGACAGTTGAAAACAAACAATGTATACAATATTGTCTGGTGTGGTTCTTGAAGTTTTTAGAGGTTGTACTTATGACAACTAAAAGGGATGAGCAGGGCAAAGACACGTGGTCATGAGGTTTCTACGTTCCTCTTGAAATGACAAGCTGTGGACCCGTATAGACTGTGATGAGTATGTGTACTGTAATCCCTACAGCAACCACTAATAACTATACAAAGACGTATAGTGAAAAATCCTATAGATAAGCAAAAATAGGGTATTATAAAACATTCACACGACCCACAGGAAGGTAGGAAATGGAAAATGGGAACAAAAAGCAGAGAGAGGGAGCAAAAAGAAAACAGTAAGATATAGCAGACCTAAATCCTGACGATATACATTCCATGCAACAGTTACATTAGATGTAAGTGGTCTAAACACAGATTAGACAAAGAATGTCAGGATGGATTTTTTGATGAGTGTACAAGAAGGTCACCGCTGATGCGATGCTGTAGGTAGGTTATAAACTGGTGCGCCATTCTGACGTTCATGAAAGAAAGCTTGAGCATCTGTAAGAATCAGATAAGCAGACTTCAGCGCGATGAGAATTACGGAGGACAAAGAGGGACACTGGTGCCATCACTCAGAAGACAACCACCCTACAGGCATAAACGGAGCTTGAAAACACGGGAAATGGGCAGCCCCGGTGGCTCGGTGGTTTAGCCCAACTTCAGTCCAGGGCCTGATCCAGGATTGAGTCCCACGTCAGGCTCCCTGCATGGGGCCTGCTTCTCCCTTTGCCTGTGTCTCTGCCGCTCTCTCTCTTCCTGTCTCTCTCTCTCGCTCTCTTGCTCTGTCTCATGAACCTCTTTTAAGAAAGAAAAGAAAGAAAAAGAAAAAGAAAAAGAGAGAAGAAAGAAAGAAAGAAAGAAAGAAAAGAAGAAAGGAAGGAAGGAAGGAAAGAAAAAGAAGAAAGGAAGAAAAGAAAGAAAGAAGAAAGAAAGAAAGAAAGAAAGAAAGAAAGAAAGAAAGAAAGAAAGAAAGAAAAGAAAGAAAGAAAAGGAAGGAAGAAGAAAGGAAGGAAGGAAGGAAGGAAAGAGAAAGAAGAAGGAAAGAAAGAAAGAAAAAGAAAGAAAGAAAGAAAAGAAAGAAAGAAAGAGAGAGAAAGAAAGAAAGAAAAAGAAAGAAAGAAAGAAAGAAAAAGAAAGAAGAAAGAAAGAAAAAGAAAGAAAGAGAAAGAAAGAAAAAGAAAGAAAGAAGAAAGGAAGGAAGGAAAGAAAGAGAAAGAAGAAAGAAAAGAAAGAAAGAAAGAAGAAAGAAAGAAAGAAAGAAAAAGAAAGAAAGAAAAAAGAAAGAAGAAAGAAAGAAGGAAAGAAAGAAAGAAAGAAAGAAAGAAAAAGAAAAGAAAGAAAGAAAGAGGGATTCCCTGAGTGGCGCAGCGGTTTGGCGCCTGCCTTTGGCCCAGGGCGCGATCCTGGAGGCCCAGGATCGAATCCCATATCGGGCTCCTGGTGCATGGAGCCTGCTTCTCCCTCTGCCTCTCTCTCTCTCTGTGACTATCATAAATAAATAAATTGAAAAAAAATTTAAAAAAAAAAAAGAAAGAAAGAAAGGAAAGAGAAAGAAAGAAAGGAAAGAAAGAAAGAAAGAAAAAGAAAGAAAGAAAGAAAAAGAAAGAAAGAAAGAAAGAAAGAAAGAAAGAAAGAAAGAAAGAAAGAAAGAAAAAGAAAGAAAGAAAACGTGGCGAGTAAACCGACGGGAAGGACGGACAGGCAGATGCACGCCGCGGGGCCTGCGTGCTGAGCGCTGAGCTGCAGGACCCCGCTGACGTCGCCCCCCGCAGGAGCCCGACCGGAACGCCCCTGACCTGGTGCGGCACCTCGGGCAGGAGCGCGAGCCTCACTCTGCGGCCCTCCCTCCGGCCACCTGG